TGCAAGGCTTTCTCAAGACTCGCCTGAAAGCAGCATCAGATTACTAGGTCCGACCTTATTTAATAAACGAACAACAGTGGTCCGATCGGTTTGACCGTTTAAACGAAAACGGCCCAGCAGGTGTTACTATAATTTGCACTACGATATTGAATGCCCGATACGCAATACGGAAATGACGACACGGTGTACATGCACATTTCGATTAAGATAATTGAGTCCTAGCTGTACTTTTTCCGGAAGTATGTCACGAAAATGGACGCTGATGACGATGTGTCGAGCCACCTTAATTGGATTGTTATGACAGAATAAGTGTTATGTTTGTAAATAAGTTTGGAAAGAACTAACATAGGCCTAGCCTGATGTCCAATCCAATTTACATATATAAAGTCAATAAAATTTGATGAAATGAAATGAATACAAACCTCTTTCGGATCTGCTCCTTTATCCAACAACATCTTAACGATGTCGGTATGGCCTTCACATGCTGCTTCATACAATACAAGAGACTGTATAAAGAAAACCATTATATTAACAACAAAAATGATATTTAACAAGGGTAATGTTTTAATTACAGGTATCCAGCATCTCTTTTTAAAAAACATTATTTGAGACATCATTATTTTTTCTTAATTTACATGAGATTTGTTTATAAACCGTCATAGGTTTATTAGTTTAATACGCGTTACTAACATTTTTGAAACCGCATAGACATAGATTAATGATTATCGCATAGAGTAAATATCGTGTCACCAACATCACTTTGTATTTTCCTAAGTAATGATTGTTTAAATGAATTGTGACTTATTATTAAAAAATCGAACAAAAAGTATATAAATATACTTGATTTTGCCGCAAATACTGTTAATGACTAAGGAATAATTCAAGATTGACGTTTTACAAATGGTTTCCAAGCATCTCATCCTTAATATTCAACGTTAATTGTCACGTGTTATGTAATCAGACTGTGCTGGTAGGTAAAAGATAAATGGGATCGTTACCTGTGTAGTGAAGGTATCAGAAGAAATTCGACCAAGTGAGAATAAAGAAATTACACCATATTTTATTTAAAAGAAATTGACATTATTCGTGATTGTACTTGTGAAGATTGATTTTCTGTTCATGGCAGAATAACACATTTTGTTTATATGTTACACGTTGGGTTACATTGATGTTTGCATTCATAGGTTATGTATGATTGTAGATAATAAAGAATGATGTTTTATTTGGTTGTGGCGTTGTTTTTCACTCCTCTTTTCAATTATAATTCCTTGTTTACGTTTTCGCTTCGCACTACTAAAAAAGATATTGTTATTGTCCTGGTACAACAACCTTCATCCTCCTCTGAACTCATGCATCGCTATATATTTTGCAATAATTGGCATAATTGAATCTTTTGTAAACCTAAATATTTAACTTTGAAACACACATTTACCAATGCCAGACTGATCATTAGATACTGCCTCCGTTACGAAATTAAACCGGACAAAAGCAATATAAACTCTTTTATAAATACAACAGTCTATCAGAGTACGTATGGTAAGACTAATACACTAGGAGTGGAGTCGTTTCTGGTGTAATGAGGGATAAAAGATGATGGAAAGGGACTTGATCAAACACTGCTTATGTTCAATTTTATCAAGTTAAAAATATATATTTATAGATAAGCAGTTATATATTACACGGGATTTCAAAGAAAGCGTGGCAATAAAAACCATAACAGTTAATGTCTGCATATGATTACAAACGATTCATTTTAGTATAAGCATGTTTGAGAAACCCACCGGTGTTTCATTTTGTTATCGTTGTGTGGTTTCCTACAGAAAATGACCAAAATCGTTTTTGTCATGACCTCACATTTCTCTTCTTCAAATTTGTTATGTGTTCATATAACCAGATACCAAATATTGACTACATGGAATCATTTCACGTACTTAAGAACAAATATTGTAACGCATATATTAATATGATGTAACACAAACCTCTTTCGGATCTGCTCCTTTGTCCAANTGTAAATGTCTGCATATGATTACACACGATTCATTGTAGTATAAGCATGTTTGAGAAACCCACCGGTGTTTCATTTTGTTATCGTTGTGTGGTTTTCTCCTGAAAATGACCAAAATCGTTTTTGGCATGACATCACATTTCTCTTCTTTAAATTTGCTATGTGTTCATATAACCAGATACCAAATATTGACTACATGGAATCATTTTACGTACTTAAGAACAAATATTGTAACGCATATATTAATATGATGTAACACAAACCTCTTTCGGATCTGCTCCTTTGTCCAACAAAATCTTAACGATTTCGGTATGGCCTTCACATGCTGCTTCATACAATACAAGAGACTGTATAAAGAAAACCATTATATTAGCAACAAAAATGAGATTTAACAAGGATAATGTTATAATTACAAGTATCCAGCATCTCTTTTTAAAAAACATTATTTGAGACATCATTATTTTTTCTTAATTTACATGAGATTTATTTATAAACCGTCAAAGGTTTATTAGTTTAATACGCGTTAATGACATTTTGAAACCACATAGACATAGATTAATGATTACCGCATAGAGTAAATATCGTGTCACCAACATCACTTTGTATTTTCCTAAGTAATGATTGTTTAAATGAATTGTGACTTATTATTAAAAAATCGAACAAAAAGTACATAAATATATTTGATTTTGACGCAAATACTGTTGATGACTAAATAATAATTCAAGATTGACGTTTCATAAATGGTTTCCAAGCATCTCATCCTTAATATTCAACGTTAATTGTCACGTGTTATGTAATCAGACTGAGCTGGTAAGCCAGGTAAAAGATAAATGGGATCGTTATCTGTGTAGTGAAGGTAACAGAAGAAATTCGACCAAGTAAGAATAAAGAAATTACACCATATTTTATTTAAAAGAAATTGACATCATTCGTGATTGTACTTGTAAAGATTGATTTTCTGTTCATGGCAGAATAACACATTTTGTTTATATGTTACACGGGAAGCGATCAATACGTGGACTTCCCGTTGGGTTACATTGATGTATGCATTCATAAGTTATGTATGATTGTAGATAATAAAGAATGCTGTTTTATTTGGTTGTGGCGTTGTTTTTCACTCCGTTTTTAAATTATAATTCCTTGTTTACGTTTTCGCTTCGCTCTACTAAAACAGATATTGTTATTGTCCTGGTACAACAACCTTCCTCCTCCTCTGAACTCATGCATCGCTATATATTTTGCAATAATTGGCATCATTGAATCTTTTACAAACCTAAATATTTAACTTTAAAACACACATTTACCAATGCCAGACTGATCATTAGATACTGCCTCCGTTACGAAATTAAACCGGACAAAAGAAATATCAACTCTTTTACAAATACAACAGTCTATCAGAGTACGTATGGTAAGACTAATACACTAGGAGTGGAGTCGTTTCTGGTGTAATGAGGGATAAAAGATGATGGAAAGGGACTTGATCAAACACTGCTTATATTCAATTTTATCAAGTTAATAATATATATTTATAGATAAGCAGGTATAAATTACACGGGATTTCAAAGAAAGCGTGGCAATAAAAACCATAACAGTTCCTAAGTAATGATTGTTTAAACGAATTGTGACTTATTATTAAAAGATCGAACAAAAAGTATGAAAATATATTTGATTTTGCCGCAAATACTGTTAATGACTAAGTAATAATTCAACATTAACGTTTTACAAATGGTTTCCAAGCATCTCATCCTTAATATTCATCGTTAATTGTCACGTGTTATGTAATCAGACTGTGCTGGTAAGCCAGGTAAAAGATAAATGGGATCGTTATCTGTGTAGTGAAGGTATCAGAAGAAATTCGACCAAGTAAGAATAAAGAAATTACACCATATTTTATTTAAAAGAAATTGACATCATTCGTGATTGTACTTGTAAAGATTGATTTTCTGTTCATGGCAGAATAACACATTTTGTTTATATGTTACACGGGAAGCGATCAATACGTGGACTTCCCGTTGGGTTACATTAATGTATGCATTCATAAGTTATATATGATTGTAGATAATAAAGAATGATGTTTTATTTGGTTGTGGCGTTGTTTTTCACTCCGTTTTTAAATTATAATTCCTTGTTTACGTTTTCGCTTCGCTCTACTAAAACAGATATTGTTATTGTCCTGGTACAACAACCTTCCTCCTCCTCTGAACTCATGCATCGCTATATATTTTGCAATAATTGGCATCATTGAATCTTTTACAAACCTAAATATTTAACTTTAAAACACACATTTACCAATGCCAGACTGATCATTAGATACTGCCTCCGTTACGAAATTAAACCGGACAAAAGAAATATCAACTCTTTTACAAATACAACAGTCTATCAGAGTACGTATGGTAAGACTAATACACTAGGAGTGGAGTCGTTTCTGGTGTAATGAGGGATAAAAGATGATGGAAAGGGACTTGATCAAACACTGCTTATATTCAATTTTATCAAGTTAATAATATATATTTATAGATAAGCAGGTATAAATTACACGGGATTTCAAAGAAAGCGTGGCAATAAAAACCATAACAGTTCCTAAGTAATGATTGTTTAAACGAATTGTGACTTATTATTAAAAGATCGAACAAAAAGTATAAAAATATATTTGATTTTGCCGCAAATACTGTTAATGACTAAGTAATAATTCAACATTAACGTTTTACAAATGGTTTCCAAGCATCTCATCCTTAATATTCATCGTTAATTGTCACGTGTTATGTAATCAGACTGTGCTGGTAAGCCAGGTAAAAGATAAATGGGATCGTTATCTGTGTAGTGAAGGTATCAGAAGAAATTCGACCAAGTAAGAATAAAGAAATTACACCATATTTTATTTAAAAGAAATTGACATCATTCGTGATTGTACTTGTAAAGATTGATTTTCTGTTCATGGCAGAATAACACATTTTGTTTATATGTTACACGGGAAGCGATCAATACGTGGACTTCCCGTTGGGTTACATTAATGTATGCATTCATAAGTTATATATGATTGTAGATAATAAAGAATGATGTTTTATTTGGTTGTGGCGTTGTTTTTCACTCCGTTTTTAAATTATAATTCCTTGTTTACGTTTTCGCTTCGCTCTACTAAAACAGATATTGTTATTGTCCTGGTACAACAACCTTCCTCCTCCTCTGAACTCATGCATCGCTATATATTTTGCAATAATTGGCATCATTGAATCTTTTACAAACCTAAATATTTAACTTTAAAACACACATTTACCAATGCCAGACTGATCATTAGATACTTCCTCCGTTACGAAATTAAACCGGACAAAAGAAATATCAACTCTTTTACAAATACAACAGTCTATCAGAGTACGTATGGTAAGACTAATACACTAGGAGTGGAGTCGTTTCTGGTGTAATGAGGGATAAAAGATGATGGAAAGGGACTTGATCAAACACTGCTTATATTCAATTTTATCAAGTTAATAATATATATTTATAGATAAGCAGGTATAAATTACACGGGATTTCAAAGAAAGCGTGACAATAACGACCATAACAGTTAATGTCTGCATATGATTACAAACGATTCATTGTAGTATAAGCATGTTTGGGAAAACAATCGGTGTTTCATTTTGTATCGTTGTGTGGTTTCCTACAGAAAATGACCAAAATCGTTTTTGTCATGACCTTCACATTTCTCTTTTTTTAACTTGTTATGTGTTTATATAACCAGATACCAAATATTGACTACATGGAATCATTTTACTTACTTAAGAACAAATATTGAAACGCATTTATCAATATGATGTAACACAAACCTCTTTCGGATCTGCTCCTTTGTCCAACAACATCTTAACGATTTCGGTATGGCCTTCACATGCTGCTTCATACAATACACGATACTGTTTAGAGAAAACCATTATATCAGTAACAAAAATGAGATTTAACAAGGATAATGTTATAATTACAGGTATCCAGCATCTCTTTATAAAAAACATTATTTGAGACATCATTATTCTTTCTTAATTTATATGAGATATATTTATAAACCATCATAGGTTTATCAGTTTGATAAGCGTTAATGATATTTTTGACACCACACATACATAGATATAAGATTATCTCATAGAGTAAATATCGTGTCACCAACATCACTTTGTATTTTCTAAGTAATAATTGTTAAAATGACTTATTATTAAAAAATCGAACAAAACGTATATAAATGTATTTGATTTTGCCGCAAACACTGTTGATGACTAAGTAATAATTCTAGATTGACCTTTTACAAATGGTTTCTCAGCACCTCATCCTGAATATTCAACTTAAAATGTCACGGGTTATGTAATTAGACTGTGCTGGTAAGCCAAGTGAAAGATAAATGGGATAGGTTCCTGTGTTTTGAGGGTATCAGAGGAAATTCGATCAAGTAAGAATAAAGAAATTACACCATATTTTATTTAAAAGCAATTGACATCATTATAAAAATTTACGTTTTCGCTTTGATCAACTTAAAAAAAATATTGTTTTTGTCCTGGTACAACTGCCTTCCTCCTCTTAATTCATGCATCGCTATATAATTTACAATAGTTGACATCATTTGAATCCTTAACAAACCTCAATATGTAACTTCAAAACACACCATAATAATGCCAAACTGTTCAATTGTATCAGGTATATATATATGGATATGTTTAAAGTTACGAAATACACGGGATTTCAAAGAAGGCGTGGCATTAACGACCATATCAGTTAATGTCTAAATAATTGTAGCATTAGCATGTCTGGACAAACGACCGGTGTTTAATTTTGTTATAGTTGTGTGGTTTCCTATTAAAAACGACCAAAATCGTTTTTGTCATGATCTAAAATTTATCTTCCTTTAACTTGTCCTGTGTTCATATCCAGATACCAAATGTTGACAAAATGGCATAATTTGACGTACTTAAGATCAAATATTGTAACGCATATGTCAATATGATGTAAAACAAACCTCTTTCGGATCTGCTCCTTTATCCAACAAAATCTTAAAAGATTTTTACAACAGTGGTCAAAAATGTGTCAAAATAATCTTTAAACTCATTTAAATAACCTTTTTTACGGGAATGTAATTCAACATTCCAATAATGTATAATTGTTTCGTTTATGGGCTGATGTTGTAGCGCGGAGAACACCAAGCTGGAGTTAATGAGCTCGCTGGTCTCGTGATCGCATCATAGGACGAGGGTTTCCCCAAGCTATCCTTAGCCTCTCGCGTACTTGACCTTGGCTCACTTCGATATCTACTGAAAACCTCGTAAATTTATCAACAAACACCATGTCAGATACCGATAGCGATGTTCCTGAAGTTGAGGGTGAGCTTGATATTTTACCCTACCAATTTGAACCCGCGAGAAAACACGTAGATCGAGTTACAGAAGAAATATATTCGTCACAATCAGAGACTGACGAGTCTGATGTAGGGGACGACCATGCCAGGGTACGAGACATCTGCACAGACAGCATCGCATGGTATGTCACCTCAGGAAAATGAGAAATAAAATATAACTACGAGTACATGTTTTGTTGAAGAAATCGCAAACTTCCGATTTATGTCGAAATTATTGCTAAAACAGCAGAAGTTTTACTTTTGATTCCCATTCTCCCTGCCTAAACGCGGAAACGTTCAGCATCTTTCTTAAGCCGATTGAGGATTACCGATTTTAAATGTATTTTGTTTATAACAAAGAAAAGAAAAAAATGTTCACAGGAAAATACTTCATATGTGCATACATAATCACATATTTATTACGTCTTTTCGCGAAATCAGATTCAAAGCTAGATAAAAGATAAAGTAAATTTATATGTGTATGTTTTGTTTTCATTTTTCGTATGTCATCACTGAAATACAAATAGATTGCGAAATGATTTATTTTATACTTGTATATATATTTAGGCTAAAATAACCCATCCCTGGAGGGTATTTTTTTTTAACTTGCAAAGGTTGTTTTTTTCAAAGAATTAATTTACCTTAAAGTTACTATTTGGTTGAATGGTTCGTTCCTATTATCACAAAAATATAATACCATAACTAAAATCATATAGGATTTTTTTGTTTTCATCTCTTTAATTGCTGCATCTTGTAAATCTTGCAGCTGGGGAATTTTCAATGAAGTAAAAAGTCCCGAGTGCATGTATATATGATTAAAAAAAATTCAGTCTTTCCTTTACAATTTATAACCGGTGATATTTTTTAAAGATTCAATATTGTGCTGTTAATCAATGCAACAATCACTCTATTTTCACAAAATGATACCTGTTCTTTGTTACTATTTCTAAAGTAATAAGACATCGGTCCCTCACCCTACCTAGCTTTTATAAATTCACAACTTTTGCAAACTTCTTCCTGTAAGCTTGTATGAATAATCCTCTTAATATCTTGGTACATATCTTCACCTAAATATTGGGTTATAATGATTACACAACAACAGAACAGAATTTCAGGATTTTAATTTTTTTCATAAATTTGCAAACATAAACTTGTGAGCTTATCTCCAATCTCTGTTGGAATAGATAAGCCTATATGCATTCCTTTACCCTTCCTGTCTACTTGGATTTGAAATTGATCATTTTGAAGTTATAGAGTGCTGCAAGGTGTAGGAATTTTTCCAGTCAATTATTGTTATACAAACGTTTCTGCTATGAGCCTGTAATTATGTTTCAGAGCTCGTTTGATTATACATGCATTTAGACAATGGATATGAAGTATTTCTGCAATCATTCTTGCAAAAAAAAACCAACTAAATCATGAGGACAACAAAAAGCTCAAAACTTGTTGATGACACTAAATTCAAATGATCAAATAATAAGATGGATTATTGTGGCTAAGACCAAAACAAAATCTGTGTATTTCCTGTTACAAGACACAGGTCTTCCTCTAATTCTATGTGGAAAATACCCAAAAGGCAATCAAAAATTGAACCTTTACAACAGACAGATAGAATTGCAATTATAAATCAATATATATAGTTAATAAAGGCCAAAGCAGAATATATCTGTTTCTTATTTACTTGAATTTTGTGTGAACATCAGGTTAGGCATATTGCGCATATTATGTTGTCAGCATATGTAATATAAAATTCAAATTATATACAAATCATATATAGATCTAGTACTTTGAATTCCAGGTGTGATTGTGAATGCTGCACAGCCATGACAACAGAGACAGAATGCCTGTGTTGCCAGGAAATTGACTTAAAAAAGGAATCATGTGTATCACAAATCATGAGGGTTTCATTGCAAACTGCCTAAATAGAGATGTCTTGGAAGTCTCACTTTTTGAGTTTGTCGAGCATGATGGGCCTATTGATGACAATGAGCCAATTAATGAGTAAGTAGGGTCATACAAGTCAATTCAACACAAAAATATCAAACTCAAAGTACTCATTCAGCAGCCAACTGCTAACTCTATTGTTTTGTACATATATATATATCGTATGGCATTTACAAATTGTCTTCTCAATACCACAACTGCTGTCAAGTTATTGTCTTTTGTAACACATTGTCTTTTAGAACACATAAAATCAGTGTGTAATAGTTGTGCATTTTATCGTCCTCGGACTGTACAGATACATTGCCTACAGACGATTTACTCGGTGGATATGGCATCGCCTTGGGAAAAGGAATCGAATGGTGATCCCTGCATGTGCTGTTGTCAAGATACGGGCAACATTTCCATCGGAGGAGTACTGTGGTTTTAGGTATGTCAGGCCATAGGTGAACACGTGGCATCAGAGATCCCTGGGCTCGCACCATTTCGGGCAATGAACCTTGACCTATGTCTTTCAATTAATTTACTCTTGTTCACATGCTGGTAGGAGTCTGTAAGAGGTGGAGGAATCTGTCCAAAACTTTCCCTTCCATCAACGATGGCAGTGGTGTAGTTTGGCAGATCCATTCGCCTGTCTATGCAAGCATCGATCAAGAGAGCCACATAGCCTAATAGCAAAAAACAAAACATAATAACCCGATTGACATTTGAATAGAACTGACTATGTTTTACCTATTGTTAAAAGCTGTCGTAATTTCTAACATGAAAATGCTTGATATATTTCATTGTTTCTTATTTTTGCTGATGGCAATGTTAACGATAAGTAAGCATTGATATTTTTTCAGATCTGTCCAATATTTTCTCCACCGATAAAAATTGTACACCTCTGTTATTCTTGAGCAACTCTTAAAAACTAGCTAGAATTTCCCTTACAAAGGAGTTCTGCATCTGATAAATACTTCAGCTTTTACATCGAAAAATAACACTACCTGGATACTCACCATATGTTGGTCGAGTCTTGCATGGTTTTACAACCACTTATTTTCCATTCTTGGCCTTGGGATAGGAAATTTGCCATTTCTGCTGCCCATCTTTTGTCTCTGCTCTTTTTTTTATTATTTTCATTATAGTGTAAGGCTGCAAGGTACAATCTGTAAAGCAAACAATAAAACCTGTTTTAGTGACACAAGAAATTGTGATATTTTCAATCATACAGTCAGTGAAACCTGTATAGTCTGACATCCTGTGGAACACAAACAATTTTCTTATGAAATTGATCTGTCTTATCTGTCCACAAACTGTCAATTCCACCAACACATGTACATGAAACATGAAATACTGGTCAGAGTACCTGTCTAATCTAACAGGTTGCAAGTAAGCACTGGTCCAATTATGTAGTTAAAATAGAAACGGGATACAGCATTGAATTTAAATGCATGTTGTTGTAAACAGGATGACTACTGATTATTTGTATTAGAAAAGTTTTATTTAACCTGTTCCCTAAATAGATATTTATAAATTTGAAAGTACCATATATTTATCGTTGTTGTTATCATTTTTCATACCACGTATGCTTTAGCAATATAAAAAACTATGTCTTTTTCTCCCAATAGCATGTATATATAATTGCACAGTGTTCTCATTGCATTTTTGGACTGGTACAGATATTCCAAAAAAGAAATCACAAATTGACACTTATACTTCAAAACATTTTTAACAGCAAATAAGTACCTTGCAAGCATTGATGGATAGAAGTAGTGATTGCTTTTGGAAGCAAAGTGATTCACAATATTGTGAAACACTTCCAAGCCATATGTTTGGTGATTGGGAGAGAGTTTGCCAAGATCTCTAAACAAGCAGGGACTCTGAACCACCGACACCAACATCTTGTGAGGCCTTGACCCTACAGCAAAAATCCAGACCTAACATGAAGATTTTTATTGATTATTACCGGGGTACGTATCTGTCTATATTTTGACTTGAGCAAGACTACAGTCTGACTACGCACATTAGACTTGCTGAAGTCCGCAAACAAGAAAAAAAGACATTTAGACTGAAAGCAAATCTCATGTTTAGGGATTTCAATACAAATATTGCATTTTCAAGTTTCGATAATGACAGTTACATATTCATTGAAAAATTAAAATCTTTTTAAAGACAGAATTAAATTTAGCATTGATACTGATAGATACTTAGGTCATATACTTTGTTTAACCTTGATTCTAAAGCTAATTTTGATTAATTTTGAAGGTGAAAAAATGTGTTGAGTGTTAACCCAATATACTACTTTCTACTGAACTCCAATTCACATAATTTCATGTATATACATTTCTATCACTTTGGATAATGCTGGTACACAAATATGGGTCACAGTTTTACATGTTATCAGGAACTGAATTGTTTACTTTCTTTCACCATTCTCGTTAAGTGGGACAATGGGCACATCTTGGAAAATTGTTTGAATGGCCTTCATGTTTGTCATCTACGTGGTTCACCAAAGAATTCCATTTTGCCTTTTTCATTTCTACATCATCACCTGATGTCATAGCTGTCCAGTACATGTGTTTTCCTGCAGACTTTATCCATGGACGAATGGCTTCGCAATCCCTTTTTTGGTACAACCTTCCAGTTTCTTTGTTACACCTTTATAAGAATAAGCTCAAATTAATTCCTATAGAAAGATATTATTATTTCCCTATAAACTATTTTACATTTTAACCCCCACCCCCTTGGTTTGTTTATATGAAAAATATTATCGGAAATTTTGCTTATTTCACCTATCTGGAACCTTATTAGGGCCTTGGAACTATATATGCACCTGGTAATTCACAAATCTGGTTTGTCTTTAGCCATAGAAGCTTCAATTTTACATGTTGAACCGCTAATACATGTACATGAGTATCAATTTGAGCTGATCACTGAATACGAAGTCTAACCAAGAACTTGATATAATACAGAATTATAATATAAACAGATCTTACCTTTGGCCATGTGCCACACATCAAAGAAGTGCTTGGTGTTTGACTGTTCCTCCCTCATGTACCTTTTTAACATAACATGACGATCTGTTACAAGTGTGACAACTTGGATGTCATCTTCGTTCAGTTGCTCGAGTCCTCTCTTCAGTCCCTCTAGTTCCATGTGCGTTGAACTTTTGACCTCGTTGCTCTATAATAATACACAAACATTAACATACATGTGTGCACTTACATAATAAAAATAGTATATATGCATACTACCAATATAGTTACAGAACAAGTCTTCTAATAAACACAGATGTTTCAAGTTAGGCCAAACAAAGGCACACTAACAGTTCTGTTTCCTGTACCACTCAACACTAAAACAAGGGTACTGATCATGATATATATATATGTATATAAATATAGGTATAGGTAGTTGCATAAATGTATATAGAAAGGGAAACACATTTTTTTCCATGGATGGTCACTTTTTTGCACTCAATACAAACTTACCTGAACTAACTGGACATCCAGAACTTCATTGGTATTCAGGTCCATAAGGGAATATGAGCCATATTTAGCTGAGAAGCCAGGAGAGTCGCATCGGCCATCACCGCCAATTACCAAACTCTGACCTGCACGTTGCTCCAATATTTCCCGCTGATTGGCACTCCACATATGTATTGTCGATGGTACCAAGTATACCGACTGAATATTCAAAAATGTCCGTCGGCAAAACATTTGCATGTTCATTATGTTGAATAGCTGACACACTTTTGAAAAACTAGATCCACTGAAGAACACAGCAGCAGACACCAGTAGGTTACTTCATGGCAATGAGTTGTGGCATGACTGGCTTTTCCATTCATACACATGTCCAAAAGGGCACACAGAAGTTGTACTTATCATTGTTCCTTTTGAATAATTAATTACTGTTCTACACATTCCATGGCATGTCTTGCAAACAGAAAGTACCCGGTGTAACGCAGACTCCGACACAAGAAATTGTTTTTCTGAAGCAACATCTGCATCACCTGACAACACAAAGTTCATATCTGTTTCTTAGTCATCATTACCGTCGTCGTCATCATTGTCTTCATCGCTGTCGAGATCTGGATTGTAATCCTGGTCATCACTCATTGCTGATTGGTCACAGTCATCGACATCCATGTCTACCTCTTCTTGGTCAAAATTGTTGTCGATCACATCCGATGTCCTCCATGATGTATCTTCTGTTATCAAACAACACTGGGTGCCTTTACTGACTTGTTCAGGTCTCAATTTGGGCCGCACTTGAATCCTTCTTGTTCTTTGAGAAGGCCTCATGTTGACTTGAACACTTGTACTCTTAGTACTGACGTTGGACGTACATGTTTCAACATATGGGGATGATGGTAGTGACTCCTCTCTGTTAAAGTTCATGTCATGCTTCATGTAATTCTTGATCCAGATCATCCAACTCCTGAACAAGAAACTTCGGGTCATATTCTTGAATGGCTGACTTCAATACCTGAAATACATTGTAGACAAATGTATAATGAAACCAACAAGACAGACATACTGTCCACAACCTCATATATATACTGTACAGGTATTTATTATATAATCACTGTTGGAAATGGGGCCCTTGACTAGAATCAGGGGGAAATGTGTAACAGTAAATTAAATCATACAGATATTTTTTCACAATTGTTATACCAAATATACTGTACCGATCCCCCAACCCTCAAAAGTATTATTTCTGAAAGACATGGATACTTTACATTATATACATGTTGGTATTGTTTATACAAATTTCTGGGAGTCAAAATTTGACCCCAAATCATTCCCCAGACAAGTTCTTATTTCCAAATCATACAAACTGTACGCTAGTATGTCAACATGTCTAATTTAACATTTATTTATGATTGTTTGTGACTGGTCTATATAAGTCATTTCATTCAGTCAGTGATATTCCCATTTTATTAATTCAGTATATGCGCGTTTTGTTTCCTAAAATCAATGCAAGTCCCCCACCTCTCACCAAAATCACACCCTAGGCCTTTAGAAAAATAAAATGTGGTAAAATGTATTCAGATTTTTCTGGTAAATATTTAAACTGTACTGTTTGGATCAGAGACGTTTATACGATTTACAAAATTTAAGTATTTTTTTGTTCTGTTTTTTTTAACTGGTACTGTGTTTGAGTGTATAATAATTATATCTATATGTCAATGAATGAATGATTATATAAATTACAAACATATGATTGTCAGGAACATCCATTCTATCTATTTTACTTTGGCTGGTGTTTGAAATTCTGACTGTAAATTGAGATATAATAACAGATTTAAAGTTGTTCTAGTTATGTCCATGCCATACGCATTTAATCATTGAAGAAGCGTAGAACTACTAGGGGCCGGAGATCTAGAGTGTGGGGGTGGTTGAAAACTTCTGAAGATGAACAAATGAAGACAGATGTCTTTTAAAACGTTGGTGTGTGAATTAGCTGTTATATTTATATAATTCTTGTTAAAAATTTAAATGGGTTTAGGTTAGCAACAAATCTGTGACTTACATCTGCTTTTTGGCGTTTGGCGTATGCACCTCTGACTGTCTTTGGTGACGAAAACCTGCCTGTATTTTCTTTCTCCATCAGTGGAATGTCCGGCAATGCGTCATCTTTCAGCTTTGCCCTCCGTGAAAAGTTTAATCCCAAACTCTCGAATTTCGAACTGTGGTACTGCAACATGTCCATTGAAAAATGCACACTGCATAAGGTGTGATGATTTGTTGCTGTGAAGCTAGACCTTCGACAGTAATGTTTCCATGTCGATCTCTGCACGGGATTCTTTGGGAAATTCAAGAACGAAATTCCGCTTCCTCTCTTCAGTCTATTGGAACAACCGAAAGCCGCACCAAACACCATTTTACCAAATAAAAGTATACACCAACTTTCATTCAAAAAGCTACGTTGTCTTTCACAACAAGATTTCCTGTTTACGCTAACTCGGAGACTGTGATCAGCTGATATGATATGTAAACAAACAGTGTAATATGGCGGCGGCCTGATTTTTCCCGGACTATTATGACGTCACAAGGGAGTGGCCTCGTTCCGGGTCACGAAATATGCATAAATGAGAGGTCAACTCGTATGACCCAATAGTCGTGTCACTTCAATGTAACCAGACAACGCGTGCAGGATAGGGCGTTTTAATAAAGGGTTTAAAACACAACTTTTTTATAATACAGAATTTTTATTTTTCGTTGCACAAATCCTTTAACGATGTCGGTAAGGCCTTCACATGCTGCTTCATACAATACAATAGACTGTATAAAGAAAACCATTTTATCAGTAACAAAAATGAGATTTAACAAGGATGATGTTATAATTACAGGTATCCAGCATCTATTTATAAAAAACATTATTTGAGAAATCATTAATTTTTCTTAATTTATTTATAAATCATCATAGGTGTATTATTTTTTATTAATATGTGTATGCTTATTTAAAAAGAATCATAGGTTTATTAGTTTGATACGAGTTAATGAAAATTTTGAAACCTAACGGATATGAATTAATGATTATCTCATAGAGTAAATATCGTGTCACTAACATCACTTTGTCTTTTCTTTACTTATGTTTGTTAAAGTGACTTGAGACTTATTATTACCAAATCAAACAAAAAGTATATTAATGTATATGATTTGGCCGCAGACACTGTTGATGACTAAGTAATGATTCTAGATTGACGTTTTAAAAATTGTGTCCCAGCACCTCATCCCTAATATTCAACGTTGATTGTCACGTTTTATGTACAGACCCGTACAAATTCGCTGTTCCTCTTTCAGCGTACCGTTTGCGTAGCATTTCCGTACCGTTTGCGTAGCACTTGCGTATCACTTGCGTAGCATTTCCGTAGTACTTCCTTACCATTACCGTAGCATTTCCGTAGCTCATGCGTAGCGTTTCCGTAGCACTTGCGTCTACATTTTTGTTGCTGATATATTACATGTACCAATATTTGATCGACCTTTATCTTTATAAATCACGAGACATTTCTGTTTGTTTCACACTCATCCATTATGCAAACGAAATTATTATTATTTCTTCCTGTGCATTGTGGGTATAATCGTTTCGTTTTAGATATCTTATATGTTTCCGCTTTTTATGTAAACCCGTTCTTGTCATCACAAACGAATCACCGTTTGTAAGCGTCATCCGTAGCACTTCCGTACCGTTTGTGTAACACATCCGTTCCGTTTGCGTAGCACCTGCGTACCATTTGCGTAGCACTTGCGTAGTACTTATGTACCGTTTGGGTCCAAGGAGGAACAGCGCATGTGTACGGGTCTGTAATTAGACTGTGCTGGTAAGACAAGTAAAAGATAAATGGGATATTTTCATTTGTAGTGAGGGTTTTGGAGGAAATTCGATCAAGTAAGAATAAAGAAATTACACCATATTCTATTTAAAAGAAATTGACGTCATTCGTGATTGTAATTGTGAAGATTGATTTTCTGTTCATGGCAGAAGGATACATTTTGATTATATGTTACACGGGAAGCGATCACAGCGTGGACTTCCCGTTGGTTTACATTGCTGTGTGCATAAATAAGTTATGTATGCTAGTAGATAATAAAGAATTATGTTTTATTTGGTTGTGGCGTTGTTTTTCATTCATCTTTTCAATTATATTTTTTTTTGTTTACGTTTTCGCCTTATATACTTAAACATATAATGTTATTGTCCTGGTACAACAACCCCCCACCTCCTCTGAACTCATGCATCGCTATATGTTTTACAATAATTGGCATCATTGAATCTTTTCTAAACTTAAATATATAACCTTAAAACATACATTTTCCAATGCCAGACTGGTAATTAGATACTGCCTCTGTTACGGGATTAAACTGGACAAAAGAAATATAAAATCCTTCGCAAATACAACAGTCTATCAGAGTACGTATGGTAAGACTATTACACTAAGAGTTGAGTCGTTTCTGGTGTAATGAGGGATAAAGGACGACGGTAAGGGACTTGATCAAACTCTGCTTATGCTTAATTTTATCAAGTTAATAGTATATATTTATAAATTAGCAGGTACAAATTTACGGGATTTCAAAGAAAGCGTGGCATAAACGACCATAACAGTTAATGTCTGCATATGAATACAAACGAATCATTGTAGTATAAGCATGTTTGGGAAAACCACCGGTGTTTCATTTTGTTATCGTTGTGTTGTTTCCTACTGGAAATGACCAAAATCGTTTTTGTCATGACCTCACATTTCTCTTCTTTTAACTTGTAAATGTGTTCATATCTAGATACCAACTATTGACTACATGAAATCATTTTACGTACTTAAGAACCAATATTGTAACCCATCTATCAATATAATGTTACACAAACCTCTTTCGGATCTGCTCTTTTATCCAACAACATCTTAACGATGTCGGTATGGCCATTACGTGCTGCATACTTCAATGCTTCAGACTGGATAAACAAACACATAATATCAGTAAACAAAATGTGATTTAAAAAGGAAAATGTTATAATTACAGGTCTGCAGCATCGTTTTGAAAAATACATTATTTGTGGCATCATTATTTTTTTTTATTAATATGTATGTTCTTATTTAAAAAGAATCATAGGCTTAATAGTTTGATACGAGTTAATGAAAATTTTGAAACCTAACGGATATAGATTAATGATTATCTCATAGAGTAAATATAGTGTCACTAACATCACTTTGTCTTTTCTTTATTAATGTTTGTTAAAGTGACTTGAGACTTATTATTACCAAATCAAACAAAAAGTATATAAATGTATATGATTTTGTCGCAAACACTGTTGATGACTAGGTAATCATTTTAGATTGACAATTTTTACAAATGGTTTCCCAGCATCTCATCCTTAATATTCAACGTTAAATGTCACGTGTTATGTAATTAGACTGTTATGGAAATTTCCAGTGTAGTGAAGGTATCAGAGGAAATCCGATCAAGTAAGAATTTGAAATTACACCATATACTATTTTAAAGCAATCGACATCATTCTTGATTGTCTTTGTGAAGATTGATTTTCTTTTAATGGCAGAATAATACATTTTGTTAAAATGTTACACTTGACTGCGATCAAAACTAGGACTTTCCATTGGGTTACATTGATGTTTACACAATATCATTATGTATGATTGTAGCAAATGAAAAACGATGTTTATTTTAGTTTTGGTGTTGTTTTTAACTCATCTTTTCAATTTTAATTCCCTGTCTACGTTTTCGCTTTTATCTACTGAAATAAAAATATTGATAAAACAACATTCCCCACCCTCTGAAATCATGCATTGCCATATATTTTACAATAATTGACATCATTTGAATCTTTAACAAACCTCAATATGTAACTTTAAAACACACCATACCAATTCCAAACTGTTCAATTTTATCAAATTTATATATACAATGTATGTATATAGTCGCAGTTATAAAATTCACGGGATTTTATAGAAAGCGTGGCATAAACGACCATATAAGTTAATGTCTGCAGAAGATTACAAACGAATAATTATAGTATTAGCATTTTTGGAAAAAAACGACCGGTGTTTAGTTTTGTTATCGTTGTGTGGTTTCCTACTGAAAATTACCAAGATCGTTTGTGTCATGACCTTACATTTCTTTTCTTTTAACTTGTCATGTATTCATATCCAGACACCAAATTTTGACAACATGGAATAATTTTACGTACTTAGGAACCAATATTGTAACCCATTTATCAATATGATGTAAAACAAACCTCTTTCGGATCTGCTCCTTTGTCCAACAACATCTTAACGATGTTGGTATGGCCATTACGTGCTGCGTACTTCAATGCATCCGACTGGATAAACAAACACATAATATCAGTAAACAAGGAAAATGTTATTATTACAGGTCTGCAGCATCGCTTTGAAAAATAAATTATTTGTGGCATCATTATTTTTTTATTAATATCTATATGCTTATTTAAAAAGAATCATAGGTTTATTAGTTTGATACGAGTTAATACAAATTTTGAAACCTAACGGATATAGATTAATGATTATCTCATAGAGTAAATATCGTGTCACTAACATCACTTTGTCTTTTCTTGATTAATGTTTGTTAAAGTGACTTGAGACTTATTATTACCAAATCAAACAAAAAGTATATAAATATATATGATTTTGTCGGAAACACTGTTGATGACTAAATAATAATTTTAGATTGACATTTTACAAATGGTTTCCCAGCATCTCATCCTTAACATTCAACGTTAAATGTCACGTGTTATGTAATTAGACTGTTCTGGAAATTTCCTGTGTAGTGAAGGTATCAGAGGAAATTCGATCAAGTAAGAATTATGAAATTACACCATATATTATTTTAAAGCAATTGACATCATTCGTGATTGTATTTGTGAAGATTGATTTTCTGTTCATGGCTTAATACAAATTTACGTTTTCGCTTTGATCAACTTAAGAAAAATATTGTTATTTTCCTGGTACAACAGCCTTCCTCCTCCTCCTTTTAATTTATGCATCGCCATATATTTTACAATAGTTGACATCATTTGAATCTTTAACACACCTCAATATGTAACTTCAAAACACACCATACCAATGCCAAACCGTTCAATTTTATCAAGTTTATATATATGGATATGTTTGCAGTTATGAAATATACGGGATTTAAAAGAAAGCGTGGCATTAACGACCATATCAGTTAATGTCTGCATCAGATTACAAACGAATAATTGTAGCATTAGCATGTTTGGACAAACGACCGGTGTTTAATTTTGTTATCGTTCTGTGGTTTCCTATTAAAAACGACCGAAATCGTTTTTGTCATGATCTAGAATTTCGCTTCCTTTAACTTGTTGTGTGTTCATATCCAGATACCAAATGTTGACAACATGGCATCATTTTACGTACTTAAGAACCAATATTGTAACGCATATATCAATATGATGTAACACAAATCTCTGAAAATTTTGGACCCCTTATCCCACATGAAACTACTTTTCCCTTCCTTCTAGTCAATATCATTATATCTGAAGAGGACATTTAAGATCAACTGTGTTTACTTAATAATAAAATTAACTCCTGGCCCAGATGGGATGATACCCAAGATAATAAAGAAATTAGCACCTTCTCTAATATGTCCTCTAACTATACTTTGTAATAAGACTATTGAATCTGGTATTATACCTCTTTCTTGGAGAAAAACTAACACTAATGCAATATACAAAGGTAAGGGTGCTCAAACTGATGTCTCTAACTATAGGCCAATATCAATTACATCATGTTTTAGCAAAATTGTTGAAAAGGTTATTTTTAAATATATGTTTAATTATATGAAAGAATGTGATATCATAACGAAACACCAATCAGGCTTCTTACCAAGAGACTCGACTGTAAACCAGTTATTATCTATATATGACACGATAGTAAATAACTTAGATCAAAATAATGAAATCAGATTTGTATTTTGTGATGTAAGTAAGGCGTTTGATAGAGTTTGGCATGAGGGTTTACTTTTTAAATTGGAATCGTATGGAATAAAAGGGAAAATATTACAATGGTTTATTAATTATCTATCTGATAGAAAGCAGAGAGTATCAACAGAGGTTTTTTATTCAATTTTTAAGCATGTCAAAGCCGGAATACCCCAAGGCTCGGTCCTTAATCCATTCCTTTTCCTAATCTATATTAATGATATAACAGAATGTGTAACAAGTAAAATAAAACTTTTTGCAGATGATACTTCTCTCTATGAAGGAAGAAATAGACAACAATCAAAATGAAATTGCAGTGAAATTAAATAATGATCTAGGTTATATTAACGCATGGGCAAAAAAACGGGATATCAAATTTAATTCACTTAAAACTGAATCTGTAAACTTCTCAAGGAAAAGGGAACAAAATCATCCAGATATCTGATTTGGTAATGAAACTAACTAATAAACAAACTCATAAGCATCTTGGTTTAACTTTTAGTAGTGATGGAAATGAACATATTATATTGACAATATTTATGAGCTAGCTTATAAAAGAATGAATATATTGAGAATGTTAAAACACAAATTGGATAGAAAAAGTCTTATAACAATATATACCTCTTTTATTAGACCAATACCTGAATATGGGGATGTAGTATGGGAGAACTGTAGTTACCAAAATAAAAATATTCTTGAGTCATTACAGGATTGCGTAGAGGGACCTCTCATTGTAAGATTTATGCAGAAACTGGACTTGAATCACGTTATTGTAGGCGAAAAAATCATAAATTAGCACTTATGTTAAAAAATTTAAATAATGACACGCCTAAGTACTTAGAGGACATCATTGAACCATACCTTCACAGCAATATAAATGTAAGATACCCACTAAGAAATAGCCATATTTTCAATCCCCTTTCTGTAGAACTGAGAATTATTTCAATAGTTTTTTCCCTCAATGTGTAGAGAATTTAACATTCTATCTGCAGAAACTTTAAATGCTACTTCCCTTCAACAATTTGAAAAATTCATCAAGTCTGAAAATATAAACAACACTGAAGAAATTGCTAGCACATTTAAATACTATGGGCCAAGAAAATTCAATATCATAATTTGTCAGCTGTGAAATCATGCTAGCAACCTAAATAGTGACTTTTATATGTATCATCTGAATGACACACCAGCATGTAGATGTGGACATGAAAATGAAAATGCATTTCATTTTATACCTGAATGCCCACTCAATAACAACTTTAGAATGCAATTAGTAATGAAAATTTCTCAATTTGGTATAACTGATAATCATGATCATTTTAATCTAAAAACTCTATTAAAGGGATGCTTCATATGCAGCGCTGATATTAACATATCCATTTTACGAAATATATCTGACTACATTTGTCAAACTAATATGTTTTATATGTAGTCTCACTCACAGCAAAACTTTACATTGAAAGTNTAAAAGAATATGTACAATAACCAGGCAGTGATATATAATCGTCTGGTTTAACCCAGCATTCATATAGACAAATTATATCATAGATATTTACACTTTCAACAAATTTCGGATCTTCAAGTTTGTCGCATACTGACCTACAAATGTTCCATGACATAATTGTCACACTCTCCTGTCTGTCCTATGTACATTGACCGCTCTCACCTGGTTTACCTGTACTGAAAGGAGGTTTTCCAGAAGAAACCTCAACAGGCTGTGGTT